GCACTTTTTATTGGAAAAGTAATTTGTGCTTCACTACGAGTCGATCACATTTGATGCATTCTTTCTGTTCAAACTACATGACCTTCGATAATAAGAAGTTATTTAGATGATACAATCCACCCTCACAACTCTCGTCTCGACCAGACTGTTATGAAAGCAAAAAAACATACGAACAGAAGAAGTTTTACAATAAAAAAAGCTGGTGAAGCTCCCATGCTCAAAAGCAGTTTGGACCCAGCGATCGTGTTCGGCTGGAAATCATCAAAGAAGCAAAAAGATCAAGTTTTGGAAATTACTTAATCTGTCCTTAACAAAGAATGCTCAAGAAGGACATGAAACAACGAGTTCAAACTCTTCTTTTGGTTATATTTCTGTTGTCCGGTCATGCCGGATTCTGAAAACAAATAGTTTTAGTTGCTTTTGCCTCTCTGATCTCATTAACGGAAGAAGTGGGTGGATTGCCTGTGTCTCATTTGCATTTAAAGAGACAGGCACTCCAAAGCGAGCGCTCTGAACGGGGCTGTTTTGGGTTAGGGTTAGGGTTAGGGTTAGGGTTAGGGTTAGGCAGGGGGACTGAACTGCTATTGGGCTTCATCCGTATGGGATTTTGACCAAAGCTTGTCACGGAAATCACATTAGGACACCAGGGAACTAGCTTAACCTGTTGAAATAGGGTATAATATGTCTCCTTTAAAATCACTGTAAACTGTGTTCTTTCACCCATGCACTTGTCTTTGTACATTTTGATAGTTTGATCTGTTTTAATTACTGTAAAGCACTTTGGTCAGCTCTGGTTGTTGTGTACAGTCACTGTGTTTTGTGTAAAAGCCTAACTGGGGACAGGCATTGAGAATTAGCCTTAGCTAAAATGTTGTAGTGTGTGACATGTTTCATGAAACATACTTGTCCCTATCAAATAAACGAATAAATAAAAAATAAAATAAAGTGCTATATAAATAAACATTGATTGATTGATTGATTATTCACCTCTGCTCCGGTGGGACCTGCTTGCCGGTTGCCACGGGGACGGGGGGGTCTGAACCCCGGCGGTTTGGCCCCGGGCCTCCGGCACGCCCCCCCGGAGGGACCCCTCTCTGCCTCTGCAAAAGGGGGGAGGAGGGAGCAGTGGTTTTCACCTGGTCATCACTTTTCATGTGACTCAGCGTGCACGTGTGTTAACCCGATTCTTTAGTTGGAAACCTGAGAATAAACCAGAGTCGATCAAGAGTAAAAATGGACATTTATTGGGTCACAGTTAAGTATATCAGCTGGGCTCTTCACAGACTAAAACCTCTCTCTGGGTCTCAGTCGGCAAACAGCCCTTAGATATAGGGGTGATGGGTCTTTGTCTCCTAAACTGGGCACACCCCTCAAAAGGAGGACTGGACACAACCAAGTCCTATTGGTTAGTTATCTGTAAGACTAACAAGCCGGGTCCTAATTCATGTTAATGACATTGGAATGTGGTACCAAATAATGTGTGTGTGTGTTGACTTAAAGACGTGGATCTAATGAAACAGAGAAAGAAAAAGAGAGAGCAAAGAGAATCTGTGGTTACAGCCAGAGACTTCATATAGTTATAAAAGAAATAAAACAATCAGTAATCTACATAGATCATGTGATAGCATACTATGCTAAAGTGAGTGTTTATAACCAAATCCTAACACGTGCATGTTCACGTGCACCCGCACGGGCCGAGTCCGTGTTGATCGGCGCAAAGTGACGGGATCGGGTCAGACGGCGAGTGATGTAACTGGTGTTTTTGTTTTTTAGGCTTTTCTGTGACTCAGCTCTGTGTCTCTGCTGCTTCCAGCTGCTGGAAAGTGAGCAAAGGCAACATCCAAACACTCTCCCATCACCGCCCATCTCAGGTGTGTCAGCGCCCCCTGCTGGGCGACCCGTTTAAATTCTAATAGCACTCCCAAAGCGGAAAACGTCTGACTCCACTCATGTCTGACCAGAGATGTAGAGAGTACTGGAGTAGAAGTATACAAGTACTATATAAAAATATTGGCTTGAGTAAAAGTTGAAGTGTTGTTTCAACTCCATACAACTCCATAAATACAACGAATTGAAGCTGAGAAATGACTATTTAAGTCCTTCATTAAAGTC